GAAAATGGCAAAACACATGTAAACAGAGCAGGTAAACACACGTTCGGTTCAGACATTTTTGAACTTTCCTCTTTTACAGACGCCTGTCTTAAGGAGCCTCCCACGCAAGCATTGTGCATGAGATCTCTAACTGAGGGTTAATGCTTAATGAATGAATTGAGGCAAAGGTTCGCATTCCAGGTATGTGTGTAGATTGAGAAGAAGAAGTAGTTTCGATCACCGGAATCGTAGTTTTATTTGCAGGAGTCCATCGTCAGAGATAAAACCGTCAACGAAATTAAGCAACATTTATAGGGGAAGGGCCCCCTTCCCCCATAAATGTTGCTTGCTTTTGTTGACGGTTAATTGCCCCCTTCCTCTGTAAATGTTGCTTGCTTTCGTTGACGGTTAGTTGGCCCCTTCCTCCTGTAAATGTTGCTTGCTTTCGTTGACGGTTAATTGGTCCCTTCCCCTATAAATGTTGCTTGCTTTTGTTGAAGGTTTTATCTCTGAAGATGGACTCCCGCAAGAGTTCGAAAGCTCAGACTAATAAAACTACGATTCCGGTGATCGAAACTACTTCTTCTCAGTATGTTTTATGAATGCCTGCACAGGACAAAACAGGGGAACTAAAGTGAAAAAAGAACAGCTTACCATATCTATCGCAAAATGACATTTCCATTTACTAAGTGTTGGCATGCTGCCGCTCGAGTTAATTTACCTCGAAAACACTTTCATACATATCGGTTGCAGCTTATGACGCCCAACCTGAACGTACTAGTCCTCGCCGCAGGCGACACGACAGTTCTACATTTTCGCTTGCTCCAACTTCCACGACAAGTATTTTGCACCCAGCCAGAATGAGTTAGCAGTAATGAAATCTACTTGTGTTTGTTACCTAGTATAAACATATTGCACTTTGGTTCTGGGCTGTTTTCTTCTGATAAGGATTAATTATATGGCGTATAGACAGGACCCGAGAACAGAAGTCGCCCGCAATGCAGGTTGATTTGCGTAGAATTCCTCAGAAAGCGAAGTTTGGTTCCAGGTTAATGTGAATGTTAGGGTTGGGTATAGAGTTGGGGTTATGTGCAGAGTTAAGGCTTG